CGAGTATGAATCGCAGGGTGCCTGCTACAACAAGGTTAGCTGACCACGACGACATTACCGGCGTCATAGTGTAGACAGGTTGCAGTCAGTCGAGGCAGTGTCCTTGCGCTGGCCTGCCTACTGTGACAGGCAGGGTGTTTTGCAAAAGGTACCTGCGGTGCCGCGCTAGCCTTTTTTCAATGCCCCTTTGCCCAACGCTGCCCGGCGTGTGGCAACAGCAACGAGTCTGTACAGAAAAAAAGGTTGGTATCCAAAAAAGAAACGCCTGGACTGCAGGTTGGCTACTACGTGCACAAGAGTGCGGGGGGGCCTCTGACACGGTGCAAAGGCGCCAGGGGCAGGGGTCGGCTGCTGCGCCGGGTCAGCCGACACAAGCGCGGCCAGTGCGGTGGCAGCCCGCAGCCACCACTTGCTGCGCAGTTCTCTTTGCCAGCCAGCCAGCGTGCGACCTCGGAGCAGCGGGCCCTCCGGGCTGGAGACAGCCCGGCACAGAGCTCTTGCGTAGTGTGCAGCAGACAACCGGACATGGCGGTGACAGAAGGAGGAGCCGGTGTAGCGCACAAAGGGAGGCGCCTTCCGGTGTCCTGTCGCTGACCGCCCTGCCTCGCCCCCGGGCAAGCCCTCCTTGCTCGGGAGAACCAGGCTGGGTTTTTTCTTTTGCAGTGTGCCGCAAGCTCCCCCCCCCATTGACCCAGCCATCCTTGTCCCGCCTGTCTTTTGCAAAGGGGGGCGTGTGCTATAAAATGGCTGGCGAGCGCCTCCCAAGCAGCACCACTTTTTTTTACGCCAACACACACATCATTGTCCCCCTTTCAAGCCAACCACCCCCACTCCTTGCCCGCAACAACTACCCACTCCAAGCCTCAAGCACTTTCCGAGTAACACGCGCCATGTCGGACAGCCCCGCCAACGATAAGCCCGCCGATAGCGGAGAGCCCGTGCAACGTGTGTATGTAGGCGAGAACGACGTAAGTCTAGACAGTAGGGAGCCCTTGAGCAATCGTTGCATTAGCGGGACGCTGTGGGAGGGCAATCCGGAGAATGGCAACCGCGTCGTCAGTGACAGCAGCAACAGCGACGGCAAGGAGGACAAGGACGGCGACGATAGCTAGACAGCTAAAAGCATCGAAGGGGGGGGGCAAAGCGGGCCCAGCAGGCATCAACACCTCCCGGCCAAGGCAGGCTACACGACATCTGGATCCCGCCAAAGCCCTGGGCATCACAAATCGTTCGTCTCCGCCGATCGGGAAGCTGCGCCCTCCTTGACTCTGCCCCCCCTTTTTGTAATTGCTGTTGCTGTTGCTGTTGTTTCCCCCCGCCTGTACGGAGGATGGACACGCTGAGCGAGTTTCCGTACTTGACGGCAGACGAATTCACCGAGTGCATTGGGCGGTTTGCGGCCCGATACAGCGCAGTGCTGCAGGTCGATATTGCCGGGGGCCGGCAGCAGCAGTATCTGCGGATCCGGCGGCCGCTTCTGGCGCTGGGCGCAGTAGCGGCCGAGGAGGGGGCCGAGTCGGTCGAGGCAGAGGGGGAGGGGGAGGGGCTGTGGGAGGACTGCGACCCGGCGCGGAGCGCACCGCCGCCGCAGACAGACGGCGGCGGGCAGAGCGAGATCGGGCGGGTCGAGTACCACGTCGTGTACTCGCGGACGTGGCGGGTGCCGGTGGTGTACGTGCGGGTGCACACGGGGCGCGGCGGCAGCGCGGCGGTGGAGCTGGACGCGGGGCGGGCGGCCGAGCTGCTTGTGGCGGACGGGGCGGTGCGCGGGGCGATGGCGGCGGTCGAGTTTGGCGGGGCGCTGGGGCTCCAGGACCACCCGGAGCTCGGCACGCCCTTTCTGTACCTGCATCCGTGCCATACGGCCACGCTACTGCGCGCGGTAACGGCGGCGCCGGCCGCCGGCGGCGGCAACAGTGACGGCGGCGCGCGCGAGAATGCGGTTGCGGTGGGAGCGGGCGACTACGTCGCGGCGCTGCTCAGCCTCGTGGGGCCGGCGGTGGGCCTGGCGCTGCCGGCGGCGGCATAGTGGGGGGGGGGGCGATTGTTCCTCCTCTTCCGGGGCGCTTCGGGCCGCGCCGTTGTTGTTGTCGTCGTCGTCGTCGGCCGGGGGAACCCACAGCGCCACATCGCGTCCCTCCCCCCATTCCTCCTCTGCAAAAAGAAAGACCGAGCCCGAGCCCAAGCACAACACCCAGGCACGCAGGCGCTTTGCTCTTTTTCCTTGGTTCTCGGCGGGGCGGCATGTGCGAGCGGGTGCGGGCGGGCGCACGGCGCGCAGCGGCGTTTGTGTGGCGGCGGGTCCGGCGCAACTGGTGGCTGGACCGCACGGGCGCGTGCTTTGTGGCGGGCGTGGTGGCGGCGTTTGGGCTGTCGTACTACTTTATGAACGTGATGGCCAACGTCGCGTCACAGCGCAGCCGGCGGATCGAGGAGGATCTGGGGCGGCGGTACACGCTGCCGGACGTGTTCTTTGGGTTCATCGGGCGCGTGGAGCTGCTGTGGATGACGGACATGTTTGACGCGCTGCTGTTTGTGCCGACGGCGCTGCTGGTCGTGGCGCACGAGCGGCCGTGGCGCGTGGTGTCGCGGCTGCTGCTGGCGTGGACGCTGGCGTCGCTGATCCGCATCACGACGGTGGCGATCACGTCGCTGCCGGACCCGCGGGCGACGTGCGAGTACGCGCGCGGCAGCGTGTTCACGACGTTCACGCTGCACCGGTGCGGCGACGCGATCTACTCGGGGCACACGCTCATCTTTGTGGTGTGCGCGATGACGTGGGCGTCGTTTGCGCCGAGGACGGCGGCGGGGCGCGCGCTGACGGCCGCGGCGTGGGCGCTGTGCGTGGCCGGGTCGCTGGTCGTGATCGCCAACCGCGCGCACTACACGATCGACGTGCTGCTGGCGTGGTACATTGCGCCCGGCGCGTGGCACACGGTGGCGTGGTTCTGGTACTGGCACGTGACGCGCAAGGGCCGCCTGCTGCGCATCGAGTTCCCCGTCGAGGTCGGCCGCCACCGCGACGCCGACTCGCCGGCGCTGTGCCAGCGCCGCCGCGTGCACCTCGGCCTGGCGCAGGACGGCACGCCCTACGACGCCGTTGCCCTGTACCTGGACGTGGTGCGCGGCGAGGCCGCCCCGGACAAGATCGTCGCATGTGAACCGCCGCCGCCGCCCGCCGAATCAGATGTGGCCTGATCTTTTTTTTTTCCCTGCCCCCGTCCCATCCCATCCCATCCCATCGTACTGCCTGCTTGCTTTCCTCTGTGGTGGTAATTTTTCCCTTCCTTCCTCCCGCACACGCCCAACATAGTAACCCACCCAGTAACCCAGTAATGCTCGACCTGAATGCCGACTGGCCGACCCACGCCGAGTACGAGTACTCGGCAAAGTACGACAGCCGCGCCGAGGTGGTCGCGTTTGACGCGTTCCGGGCCGACGCGGCGCTGTTCGACCACGTGGTGATCGGCGCCGGCCCGATCGGCGCGGCGCTGGCGTACCGGCTGGCGCGGGACCGGCCGGAGGGGCGCGTGCTGGTGGTGGAGAAGAGCTGGGCCGAGCCGGACCGCATTGTCGGCGAGCTGATGCAGCCGGCCGGGTGCCAGGCGCTGGAGCGGCTCGGGCTGGGCCGCGTGTTTAGCGGCATTGGCGCGGTGCCGGTCCACGGGTACCACATCTCGTACCGCGGGCGGCACCTGTGGGCGCCGTACCCGGCCCGGCCCGGCGGCGGGCGCTTCCGCGGCAACAGCTTCCACCACGGCCGGCTGGTGATGAACCTGCGCGCCGCCTGCAAGGCCCAGCGCAACCTCGTCTGCCTCGAGGCCGCCGCCACTGCGCTGCTGGGCGACGCGGCGGCCGACGGGCGCATGGCCGCGGTGCACGGCGTGCGGATCGGGCCGCCGCGCAGCGACGGCGGCGCCGGCGAGGCGGGCGGCGCTGGCGGCGAGATCGAGGTGCGCCCGCGCGGGCTGACGTTTGTGTGCGACGGCATCACGTCCCAGTTCCGGCGCCAGCTCAGCCCCGAGCCGGTCGACGTGGTGTCGCACTTTTGCGGCTTTGTGCTGGAGCACGAGCCCGTGGCCGCGGCCGACCACTTTACGGGGCCCGCGGGCGCCACGACGCACCTGGCGCAGCCCGCGGGCCCGCGGGCCAATCCGCTGCCGATGCCGCACAACGGCAACGTGCTGCTGGGCGGCGCGGGCCCGCTGCTGGTGTACCAGGTCTCGGAGCGCGAGACGCGCGTGCTGGCCGACCTGCCCGGCGCGCGCCTGCCGTCCGAGGCCGGCGGCCACCTGCGCGCGGCGCTGCGCGACTCGCTGGCCCGCGCCGCGCCCAAGGACCAGTACCCGGTGCTGCACGCCGCGCTGATGGCCGCCCTCGACTCGCCCCGCCGCATCCGCTGCATCGCCAGCAAGTACATCCCGGCCACCGCCCAGTCCGCCGACGGCGCCCTGTGGATCGGCGACGCCCTCAACGTGCGCCACCCGCTGACCGGCGGCGGCATGACCGTCGGCCTGTGGGACGTCGTCCACGTCACCGACCTGCTGCGCGCCCGCCCCCGACTACCCCTGCGCCCGCGCGACACGCGCCGCCTCAAGGCCGAGTGGCACTGGCGCCGCCGCCCGCGCGCCCTGACCGTCAACGTGCTCTCCATCGCCCTCTACTCGCTGCTCGCCGCCGAGACCCCCGCCCTGGACCTGCTGCGCGAGGCCTGCTTTGTCTACGTCTCCCGCGGCGGCCTCTGCACAATGCACCCCGCCGCCCTCCTCTCGGGCATGCTGCCCAGCCCGCTCCTGCTCGTCTTCCACTTTTTCGCCGTCGCCCTCCTCGCCGTCTACCTGCGCATCGCCGACCGCTCCGCCGGGCCCCTGCCCCGCCGCGTCTGCTCGGCCCTCCACGCCCTCTACGTCGCCGCCGCCGTCATCCTGCCCCCGGCCTGGCGCGAGCTGCGGCCCTGACAGTAGATGCTGCAAAGAAAAAGAGACAGCAGCAAAAAGGTGCGCTCTGTGTGGGGGTCGAACCCACGACCATTCGGTTAAAAGCCGGACGCTCTACCACTGAGCTAACAGAGCCGCTGAGCGGCTATGGGGCACAGCTCCGTCAGCCCTATTGCACTTTCTCTAGTGTACGATGAGCAGGGGGGCAGCGCTGGATCACGTGAAATCTGGTGGCACGTGACCCAGCACCGCCCTTCAAAAAAAACACCCTTCCAGATGGACCACCGTGGGGTCCATCTGGTTCAATTTTGAGTCCGGCGACGAGGCACGACGAGCGACCCTGTCGTTTGCTCTCCCGGCTTTCAACCCTGACAACCCCGGCAGCAACATCAACCTACAATACGCTTCCACGGCACCACTCCCTCCTCCCTCCAACACTAGTCCCAGCGCCACCCGGTCGGCCTAGTGACCGCGTCCCCCTGCCTCCCCGCAGCAGCACCCCGTGCTGTGGGATGTTTGGCGTTTTTTAATGTCTGGTTCAATGTATGTTGGCACCTTCAAAAAAAATTCAAAAAAAAACACCCCGCCGGCCTAGTGACCGTGTCCTCCCCTGCCTCCCCGCAGCAGCACCCTGTGCTGCGGGATGTCTGGCTTTTTTCTGTCTGGTTCAAAAGTTGGCATCTTCAAAAATGCATCTGCAGCAGGCAGTGTTGTTTTGCTGCTCTTTGGATGCATCTGGCATCGCTGGGCACATGCTGGGGAGCAGGCCAGTGCGCATAAAAACACAGGGCTCGGCACGCCGCTCCAGCACCATTCAGCCACCCAACAACCAACCAACCAACCAACCAACCAACACACGCAGCGCACGTCTGCTCCGACGCCACAAAATGGTCCACTACACTTCCATTGCCGCCCTTGCCCTGGCTGCTGCCGCTGCCGTGGCGACGACGACGGGGCCCGCGCAGCCCCAGGCCCCGGCCGGGGCCGCTCACTCTGTGCAGCATGCCAAGCGCTGCGGGGGGTGCGGCGGCTGGGGCGGCTGGGGCGGCTGCGGCGGCTGGGGCTGGGGCCGGGGCTACGGCTGCGGGCTGTGCGGCGGCGCCGGCTGCGGGCTGTGCCGCGGGATCGGCTTCCCGGGCTACTGGTAGCGCGCTCCAGAGCCGCCAGAACCGCAGGATAGACTGAGGGTTTTTTAGATGCGCAGCTTGCCTCTCAATAGACGCGCTGCCACAGAGGAGCCGGATGCCGGGCGGGCCCGGGGCCCCCTCTGCTCCCTTGGCGGAGCCCTAGACTGGAAGGGCCCCGCGGCGTTGCCCGGCTGTTGGCAGACCTGTGCTGCCTCCGCCATGGCACGGGGGGGATGCCCCAACACGCCGTAGATGGCGCCGGGCCGCTTTCTTGGCCTGCCGAAAGGCAGAACAGCGGGTGCCAGTGCACGGCCTTGGTCCAGCCGCCAACCCTGACGGCCTCCTGGCAGACATATGCCCAGACGCCCCGCTGAGAGACGTGGGAGGGGGAGGGCTCGTCACTGGAAAAGTGGTGGCAATAAAAGTGCTCGCGCGGGACAGGCGCCCCGCATGGCGCTAGCAGACAGGCCTGGCCACCCGACACCCCCCTCTCCACCAAGTCAGGGCGCGCGACCGAACCCGCCCCATCCCGGCTGGCGGCTGCGGAGCAGGAGACTTTGCACATCCGGCATCTGGCACCCGGGGGACGTGTGCCACTCCACAAAGGCAGGAAGCGGCAAGCCGAGAGGCACCAGCTCGCGCCCATGCTTTGCCGGCACGTACGGCAGAATGGTCCAACTCTGCGCCTGCGTCAGCCGCAGCAGCTTGAAAAGCATGTCGTCGGACAGTTCGGGCTCCGCCCGCCATGCAGGTCGTGAAAGTAGCACTCGCACGCCGGCCGTGCATTGGAAAAGTCGCCAATCCCTGCCGGCGGGCTGAGCTTGAGGACGTCTGTGATCTCGGCAAACAGACGCGTGGGCGTCTCGTGCGTCGCGTCGGTCAGCAGCGCATGTTGGCGCTGTGTACCCCGCCATGGCCACCAGGCTCTGGTCGCCGTCGACGCGCCTGTCTACAGGCACCACACGGCACTGCGCAAGCACGCGTCCCGCCTGTGCCTCGGCAGGGTGCTTCCTCTGGGCAGAGACGCTGTTGCGGGACGGCTCTGGCGCCCCGGCCCCGGCCTAGCTATTCTTTCGCTTGTCTATTGACTGGACCGTGGAATGCGTCAGGCCAGACAATCCTCTAGCTACGTGCTGGACTGGATGTTATCCTTGCTGCCGCGTGCCCTTGGCGCCCTGTGCCTCTTTGCTGGAGGTGTGGCGGGTTCGGGTGAGGCGGCTCGCTTCTGGCCGGG